CACACACACGAGCGCGACTTTAGCACTAGATTTAGCAACTTTCAGACCCTTTAAGCGGCTTTTTTTCATAGGATATTCATACTGACAAACCTAGCGACTTTTTTGTATAAATCTTAGCTATGGTTCAGTTGGAAGATTTCGCCAGTGCTGTCCCGCGAACGCGAGGTCTGACTTTCCCGGAGAAGTGTCACCTCTCTCAGCGTCTGCTCTGTGCAGTGAGCGGCAGAGAAGCAGCATTCAGTTGGCCGCACCACAGCCGACTCGTCAATAAATGAGTACAAAACAGCGTTTCCTAGAACCTGTCGCTTACTGATTGGTTGGAATTATAAATATGAGCATAGTTCGTCTGTTAATATCACATGCACTTTTTTGTTTGTTGTTGTTTTTTTTAGTTTGTTACTCAGACGCAGGCAGTGCACTGCATGAGACAAAAAAGTAATATAGCCAAAACAACCGCATAGCCGCTCTTTAGTGTAGATGCATGTTGATTTTATCAGACGATGCCGCGATTATAAATGAGTGACTCCTGGTTAACGTATTAAAAGGGGTCGTGTTTAGTCACTATTTAGCATGGTATTTTTCGACAATATTCACTCATCATGACAGTAAAATAGGGCATTCTAAGTCAATATACTGCAGTTAACACCCAGTCATGCATGAAAATACAATACCGTCATGTACCGTGAAACCGGTATAATTAAAAAAAATTCCGGTGATTAAACGATACAGGTTTCATCTCAGTCGCTCCTGTGCGGTCAGAATCAATGGCCCTCTTGGGGCTCCAAAGTAATTATGTTGCTAACGATCAATTGTTTAGCAAACAAAATGTAACATTAATGCACAATTAATCAAGCCATACCTATGAACAGTGATTAACATTTATCTTACCCAGGTAGCTTAGTGGCCATGTCCAGGAGAATGCTTCGCCAGTCCTGCTGCTGCAGCTGCCATATCCGCGCCGTGCCGTCTCTACTGCCACTCACAAACCTACACAAGCATAGGTTTATGCTCAAAAATGTAATCTATACAAATACATAATCTGAGGCTTCAAGAAAAAGGAATGAATGAGGCACACTGATCAAATTTGAATCCACTAAATTTGAAAACTTCACTGCTGTCTTAAAATGTTTAGCAAAATGTGGTACAACAATGATAAATTCATTCTACTTCAACCATTTTGAAATTACTTACAGAAGGAAAATTACTTGAACCTCTGAAAACTCTAAGTTAAATTAAGTTATCTGGATGAAGGTTTTTTGTTTTAAGTGTACTGAATGTGGCTCTTGTATTGTTGACTATGTATTACTCTATAAGGCATCTTATGTGCTCATACAGTACAATTTCTATTTAAAAAAAAACAAAAAACACTCATAATTTAGTTATGACAATTTTCCCTCTTTCTGACCCTTAAAATTATATGGTTAGTTTTTGTTACTATGCCTTTAGGACCTCCATAAACACCCGCTTCGCATTTGAGTAAAAGCGGTATTATTGAGAAGACGTAGTATTAATGTGTTAACATTTACATACATTTTGTGTATGCATATGTGCACCGCTTCATAATACAGTGATGTTTACTGATGTGTGCTGTATGTGAATTAAACAGCAAAAAAAAAATATTTTCTCAAATAGTAATGTATTGTTTTCCAGTAACAATATCTAAATATCTTTAAAACAATGAGAAGTAATATTATTACATATTATATTAATAATACATATTAAGTTAAAAAAATGTATTTCCCTGTTTTTAACCGCATTATCCTCACAAAATTGTGTTACAACATATTTTAATCTTAATCTTATCATATTTTAGTCCCACAATTTTTCTTCTCAAATAAATTTATCTAGGGATGTTTAGATATTTGTGCTGAAAAAAGGCACAAACAATGATTAAAGAAAATTATTTTTGAAGCAGTGTCATACAATTTTACTATATAAAAAAGAAAAACTGCATTAGGTTGTGACTCGATGTAATTTTTAATGAGCTGATAAGTGTGCAACAACATAGATGTGTATTACTCCATGAGGTAGCGTGGATCTATAAATGAGTCGGAGTGTATTACTCTGTTAAATAAGACTGCATTGTCTGTTACTGTGTGCAATCTACTCATTTGTGACATGGTTTTCTTCTTTTTGACAGTACACTCTGCAGTTCTATTGATTGGTGAGGTTTCTTCCCTTCTTATATATGTAACACTGGATGCTGTCTCCTTCGGTGCAAAGAATCTGTTCATGTGAACATCCATCTTTTTAATTCCTTAGGGACCTGTTACAGACCTCTCCATCTTATTACTCTCCTTCTCTCTCTTACTCCTCCTTTTCTCCCTCTTCTCCTCTGTCACACTCGCTATTTCCCCCCTCCCCCAATGCAAAAACATTTGCTCATTAAAGTAGAGCGAGTGAGGAACATAAAAGAGCTTGCAGAGACTGAATAAAGAGCTGTTGTGTCATATGCCTGTTGTTTAGGTAGAAAGACATGTCATGCACTTGAATTCTTGTACGATGTGTATCTGAAACGCATGTTTGTGTGTGTTGGGAACAAGGGTGTTTTTTTCTGCTGATAACATTGTAATAATCGCTTGTAATAATTATAAGAACCCCCAGGTTCCATTAATCCAACAAACCTGACATATAAACACACACACACTCTCTCTCACAATCGCACATGTACACAGATAAATGGAGCCAGTGTTGCTCACCGATCGCCACCATGGGAGAACTGGATGCTGTCGACTTTGTCCTGAGGAAAAAGATGAAGTCATTAAAAAACATGAGGGGAACCTCAAAATAATAATGAATTCCTGTAACAGTGAACCCAGTAAAGAGAATAGAAATGAGGTGCTTTAAACAATACATCAATATACACACAATTTTAAAAATTCAGAGAATTTGTTTAGGTTGAAGTTGTTATATATATGTTAGTGCTTTCAATCAATCAAAGATGATAGTTTATATGTTTTAATTAATTAACCACACATTTTTCTGTAATTAAACACAGTATTTAAAAATTTGTAATCATATATTTTCACACTTAATCACCAAATTAATGTTTAAACAACATAAAGAAGGTATATATTTTTTTTATTTCTACCACCTTTTTACTAAGTACTGTGAATGAAGGCAAGAATCACAGATACCAAAACTAACACTGATACCGATGCCTCTGTTAAATGCATTTTTTTTTTTATGATGACTAAATTTGTGTTTACTAAATAAATTTTACATTTACATTTAAATACTTTGTTGAATAAAGTTGTTATTTTTGTTTTCTTTGTGCACAAAAAGTATTCTCGTTGCTTCATAACATTACGGTTGAACCACTGATGTCACATGGACTATTTTAATGATGTCCTTACTACCTTTCTGGGCCTTTAATATGGTAGTTGCGTTGCTGTCTATGCAGGGTCAGAAAGCTCTCGGATTTCATCAAAATTATATTATTTTATGTTCTGAAGATGAACAAAGGTTTTTTGGGTTTGGAACGACATGAGGATGAGAAATTAATGACAGAATTTTCATTTTGGGCAAACTATCCCTTTAAAAATAATAATTGAAGAAATTAACATGTTATTTTGACAGCAGTATATTACACACTAGGGATGTGCATCTCATGACTGAGGCCGATACGATGACTCATTGTCAAATGATTTGGTTCCATAAAGCAAATTTAACATAGACCAACTTCAGTCACTGTGGCAACGTATGCTGGGAAACTTACCTGGTCTAAAGCAGGTTAACTGTCAGACTAAGCTGAGTTCCTCTAACACTGACCAATAGGAACGCTATTATTTGACTTTTTTTTTACAGTTTCTAGCCAAGCAGAAAGGCTCTCTCTGGTTTTATAACAGCTGTACCTTTGCAGAACAGATAGCAGAACATTAGAACATTACGATCTAAAATTGCTCTTTAAAGCATTAAAATAACTAAATTAAATGTTAAAATCACTGAATTAAAATGAAAATAAATAATAAAGAAAACGACTTCTAAACTGCTATAAGAAACACACATTAACCAAATTATTGCGCTCCTATTCGATTGCGCTCTGTCTGTTTAGCGCGCAGATGCGCTTGTTGCTCTCGCGTAAGCCTCGCCCACTCCTGACAGCAAAAATTGATATATTTGCATGACTTTCTAACATTTACAGATGACAA